GTCAAAGGGGTTCCTATGACCATAAAAATTGTATGTTTTCTGATGGTCTTTAGCGATCCCTTGGAAACGCCCTCATGAACCCCCCAGGGGTCCTGACCCCCAGGTTGAGAAACACTGATCTAGACAATATCATCCTCTTGATGCAGCCTAGAATCGCATTGACTTCTTTGCCTGCTGGCTGGTCATGTTGACTCATGCTCTGCTTGGTGTCCACTACTAAGACTCCTAGATTCCTTTCACATGGACTGTTTTCAAGCAAAGTGTCACCCATCTTGAACTGGTGTGTTTCATTTTCACTTCCTAAATGTCCTTCCATGCCTTTCTCCTTATTGAAGTTCATTTTCCTTCTTCCGATAACCTCCAATGCAAGTCTTGCAAGCCCAGCTGTGCAGCATTATAGTTACAGCTGAGGGTGAAAGGACAATACCCTATTTTGGGATTGTTTTTGTTTTACAAGGGATGGGGAACCTCCTGGAAGCCCGATCCTATGAAAGACCTCCAAGTCACCCTACCATCAAGATCCCAGCTCCGGTCTTGCAAACACGGAGCAGCCAGGGCTTCATCAGTTGACTCTTTCTGGCTGGAAAGCAAGGTCCCACTTTTCCTCCCGCTTTCCACCTTTACCAAGCACTATCATCTTTTCAACTGTAGCATAGGTGCAGTTTGGCCTTGTTTTGTGCTATGGGATCCTGGGAGTTGTAGTATAGTATGTCACCCACACTCTTTTGTGTCAGGAAAAGTGTATGTATTGTAAAAGCTGTCTCACAGTGGGATATATACCACTGGTGGTAGAGCCTGCTTCTTTGGAGATCCTCAAACAGAGGTTGAACGGGCATCTTTCAGCTTTGATGTGGTGTATTCCTACAAGGCAGAGGGATGACAAGATCAGGGGTTCTCAACCTGTGGGCCCCCAAGTGTTTTCGCCTACAACTCCCAAAAATCCCAGCCAGTTTACCAACTGTTAGGATTTCTGGGAGTTGAAGGCCAAAACATCTGGGGACCCACAGGTTGAGAACCACTGGACTAGATGACCCTTAGAATCATAATTGGAAGAGAGCCCAAGGGCCATCCAGTCCAACCCCTTCTTAAAACTACAAGAAAAGAGATTCCATCTGAACATGAGGAAGAATTTCCTGTGAGAGCCGTTCAGCAGTGGAACTCTCTGCCCCGGAGTGTGGTGGAGGCTCCTTCTTTGGAAGCTTTTAAACAAAGGCTGGATGGCCATCTGTCAGGGGTGATTTGAATGCAATATTCCTGCTTCTTGGCAGAATGGGGTTGGACCAGATAGCCCAGGAGGTCTCTTCCAACTCTTTGATTCTATGATTCTATGATGCTATTTAAATGCACACACAATTGAAGCACTCCCAACAGATGGCCATCTAGCCCCTGTTGAAAACCTCCAGAGAAGGAGCTACGCTGACACAATCTCTCTGTGCAATTCTAAAGTTGGCCATCCATCAAAACCCATTCTACCATGTCTTTAGACACCATGAAAGACCTCCCAAGAGATGGCCATGCAGCCACTGTTTAAAAATCTCCAAAGAAGAGATCTTTAAACAGTGCCTGCACCTGAACATGAGGAAGAACTTCCTGACTGTGAGAGCTATTCAACAGTGGAGCTCTCTGCCCTGGAGTGTGATGGAGGTTCCTTCCATGGAGGCTCGATGGCCATCTGTCAGGGGTGCTTTGAATGTGATTTTCCTGCTTCTTGGCAGAATGGGGTTGGACTGGATGGCCTATGAGGTCTCTTCCAACTCTATGATTCTATGATTATTTGAAGAAAGAGACACCAAGTCACCATTTCAAAGCACTCTGACCATCAGGAGGTTCTTCTTGATGTTTAGGTGGAATCTCATGACTTGAATGCATTAAACAATAGGTTGAGTTGACCAGAAGTTCCCATAGCAGGATGTTGAAGGCTTCTATGATGTAATGGGGATGGCCGTAGGCGCAGTTTTGGAAGAGCGTCCCGATCCCCCGGGCGGATGTCATGCGCATCGAATGCTTTGTCCACAGAGGCAGCTGGAAGAGCTCCGAAACGCCCACACCAAGCAGATGGGTGCCTTTGTCAAAACAAAAACAGGAGCGAGGAACACTGGAAACGTAAGAATACAACAACAGCAACACTTCTCCAGATTTTTGCAGATGTTCTGGCTGCTGGTTTTGAGGATCTGTTGGGCGCCAGCCATAGAAATTTGGGATACCTCTTTCAGATGGAGGCATCCCTTGATTCCTGCTCTTCATTGTCTGCAAAAAGCCATGGTCAACCATTTCTCTTGGGTAGGGCACACTCTCTCAGCCTCAGAGGAAGGCAATGCAAAACTATGTATTGTCGAAGGCTTTCATGGCTGGAATCACTGGGTTGTTGTAGGTTTTTTCGGGCTATATGGCCATGGTCTAGAGGCATTCTCTCCTGACGTTTCGCCTGCATCTATGGCAAGCATCCTCAGAGGTAGTGAGGTCTGTTGGAACTAGGAAAAAGGGTTTATATATCTGTGGAATGACCAGGGTGGGACAAAGGACTCTTGTCTGCTGGAGCTAGGTGTGCATGTTTCAACTGACCACCTTGATTAGCATATAATGCTCTGACAGTGCCTGAAGCAAACTTTTGTTGAGAGGTGATTAGATGTCCTTGTTTGTTTCCTTTTGTTGTTATGCTGTTGTAATTTTAGAGGTTTTTAAATACTGGTAGCCAGATTTTGTTCATTTTCATGGTTTCCTCCTTTCATTTTCTGACCTGGACACAGCATATTATTTGAGAACACAGAAATGCTGGACCACTGTCACAACCACCATGTCAGACTACACAGAGAAGCCATTGAAATCCACAAGCATGTGGATAATTTCAACAGAAAGGAGGAAACCATCAAACAGTGATGGATCTGGACAAAACGTGGCACAAATACTCAATATGCCCAAATGTGAACACTGGTAGAGTTTGGGGGAAATAGACCTTGACATTTGAGAGTTGTAGATACTGGGATTTATAGTTCACCTATCAAAGAGCAAACTGGACTCCACCAACAATGGAATTGAAACACTCTTGGCACACAGAATCTCATAAAACAGAAAATACTGGAAGTATTTGGTGGGCATTGACTTTGAGTTTAGGAGTTGTAGTTCATCTACATCCAGAGAGCACTTGGCACGGATATCCAATATGCCCAAATGCGAACACTGGTGGAGTTTGGGGAAAATAAGACATTTGGGAGTTGTAGTTGCTAGGATTTATAGTTTACCTACAATCAAAGAGCATTCAGAACCCCACCAATGATAGAATTGGGCCAAACTTCCCACACAGAACCCCCATGACCAAAAGTAAATAGTGTGTTTTCTGATGGTCTTTGGCAACCCCTCTGACACCTCTTTATAACCCCCCGTCAGGGTCCCAATCCCCAGGTTGAGAATCATAGAATCCTGGGGTTGGAAGAGACCCTTGTGCCGGTAGGACTGAAGATCAACAGGTCGGGGGTTCGAATCCGGCGAGAGCACAGATTATATCCCATCATTAAAACCCAGACATATAAATGCATTTTAGACTTCCACCCTATGTCTAAATTTTGTGTGCATTTCATGGAAATATGTTTTAATATGGGTATTTTAGAGAGTGTTTTAAAATGATTACGTGTTTTGAGTATGTGTTTTAGCAATGTTCTAACCCACTTGGCCATGGTGGTCCACGCTCTCGTTACATCTAGGATAGACTACAGCAACGCTCTCTACGTGGGGTTGCCTTTGAAGACTGCTCGGAAGCTTCAAATAGTCCAACGAGAGGCAGCCAGGTTAATAATGGGGGTGGCATACAGGGAGCACACAACTCCCATGTTACGCCAGCTCCACAGACTGCCAGTTTGCTACTGGGCAAAATTCAAAGTGCTGGCTTTGGCCTATAAAGCCCTAAACGGCCCCAGCCCAAATTACATGTCCGAACGCATCTCTCCCTATGAACCATCACAGAGATTAAGATCCTCCGAGGAGGCCCTGATTTTCATCCCGCCATTGTCACAGGTGGGATGGAGAGACAAGAGACGGGGCCTTCTTGGTGATGGCTCCCCAGCTATGGAACTCCCTTCCTGGTGAGATCAGGTCGGCCCCCTCCCTCCTGTCCTTTAGAAGGATGGTAAAAACTTGGCTGTGGGACCAAGCTTTCGGGACAGGGCAATAAAGCAGCAATAGGAAAGATGACCAGGCCAATTAGATTTGATGCAAATGACTAGGACGGTTTTAAATGGTGTATTTTAATATTTTGATTTTTTTTTTTAATGTTTATGTATGTGTATGTGAATTTGTGTCTCGGCATTGAATGTTTGCCGTGTATATGCTGTGCTCTCCCCTGAGTCCCCTTCAGGGTGAGAAGGGCGGAATATAAAGGTTTTAAATAAATAAATAATAAATAAATAGGAAAAATAATAATAATAATAATAATAATAATAATAATAATAATAGTAATAATAGTAATAATGTTAAAAAACAAAGTATGGATCGGCGCAATGGGTTAAACCCTTGTGCCGGCAGGACTGAAAACCAACAGGTCAGAAGTTCTAATCTGGAGAGAGTGCAGATGAGCTCCCTCAGTCAGCTCCAGCTTCTCATGTGAGGATATGCAAGAAGCCTTCCACAAGGATGGTCAAACATCCAAACAAATGGGCGTCCCCTGGGCAACGTCCTTGCAGACGGTCAATTCTCTCACACCAGAAGAGATTTGCAGTTTCTCAAGTTGCTCCTAACATGAAAAAAGGGATATAAATAAACATATTATAACAACAACAGTAAACCAGATGAAAACTCGGAGTAGGCTTGCCATTTCCATAGTTGCCCTGGATGCAAAATCATTTTTCTAAGCTATTTTGAAATGCATTCCTTTCTTTTGGCTCGCCGTCCTTCTCCCCCTCGTGTGCGCAAGGAACCGAAACTTTGGCGGAAGTTGGCAACTTCCTTTGCATCAACGCGATTCTTCAAAGCCTGCCTGACCTTGCTTGCTCTCCTCCGTTTCCTTGCAGAAGCTGAGCTGCGGGATGCAGGCGGACGAGGGCACCGACTGGCTTCTGGAGCTCTTGACCGAGGTCCAGCTGCAGCAGTATTTCCTGAGGATCCGCGATGACCTCAACGTCACCCGCCTCTCGCACTTCGAGTATGTCAAGAACGAGGACTTGGAGAAGATCGGCATGGGCAGGCCCGGTGAGTGGGGAGAAAGGGCGGCCAAGATGGCCCACGGTCTGGAAACTATGAATCTCTGTGGAGCTGGGGACATTTGGCTTGGAAAAGCGGGAACAAGATAGCCATGTTTAAGCATTTGAATGGATGTCACACTGAGCATGGGGCACACTTGCTTTTCCTGCTGTTCTAGATGTAGCATCATGTTCAATTTGCAGGAAAGGAGATTCCAACTAAATATTAGGAAGCACTATCTGATGGTAAGAGCTTCCTTAGAGTGTTTAAGCAGAGGCTAAATGACCATCTGTCTGGAGGGCTTGGAGTGTATCTTCCTGCCTTAGAGAATGGGATGGGACCATTCCGACTCAGGGATTTTATTGATCGATCGATCAGTCAGTCTATCTATCTATCTATCTATCTATCTATCTATCTATCTATCTATCTATCTTAGGTAGGTTCCAACTCCAGGATTCTATTGATCGATTGATCAGTCGGTCTGTCTGTCTGTTTATCTATCTATCTATCTAAGGTAGGTTCCAACTCCAGGATTCTATTGATCGATTGATCAGTCGGTCAGTCTATCTATCTATCTATCTATCTTAGGTAGGTTCCAACTCCAGGATTCTATGATTCTACCATCTATCTAATCATCTGTCTATCTATCTAGGGAGGTTGGACTGGATAGCTTTTGGGGCCTCTTCCAATCCTAGGATTCTATTATTCTACCATATATTTTATCATCTATCTATCTATCTATCTATCTATCTATCTATCTAKCCATCATCTACCTACCTATCTATATTTATTTTTTATCTATCTGTCTATCTTTCTATCCATCTTAAATAGGTTGGACTGGATGGCCTTTGGGACCTCTTCCAACCCCAGGATTCTATGATTCTATCATCTATCTGATTATCTATCTATCTATCTCAGGGAGGTTGGGCTGGATGGCCTTTGGGGACTCTTCCCACTCCAGAGTTCTATGATTCTACCATCTATCTAATCGTCTATCTATCTATCTATCTATCTATCTATCTATCTATCTATCTATCTGTCTGTCTCTATCTATCTATCTATCTATCTATCTATCTATCTCAGGGAGGTTGGGCTAGATGACCTTTGAGGCCTCTTCCCACCCCAGGGTTCTACGATTCTACCATCTATCTAATCGTCTGTCTATCTACCATATCCTGTCTATCTAGCTAGCTAGCTATCTAGGGAGGCTGGACTGGATGGCCTTTGGGGCCTCTTCCAACTCCAGTGTTCTATTATCCTACCATCTATCTAATCATCTGTCTGTCTATCTATCTATCTATCTCAGGGAAGTTGGACTGGATGACCTTTGGGGCCAATTCCAACTTTAGGATTCTAGCATTCTATGAGCAATAGTGGATCAGAGGCAGTAACGTTGTGGTGATGTTGTTGTTATTGTTGTCATCATCTTCATCATCACTGTTTACCCTCATCCACCATGTCCATTAAGATAGAAAAAAACAACAACACAGCAGAACAGCTTTGATACTACAGCAATACAGTCCATGTTTGTGTGTTTGATATTTGCAGATCTAATTATTCCTAGATTTGAGGAATATGTTCTCTTTAGGAATCCTTAGATCTTCCATTGTGACTGTGGCGAACTCCATTGGAAATCTTTATTGGCCTATAGAACGATAGCAGGGAGTATGACCATTATTGGAAGGGGTTTCCAAGGACTGGGAATAATGGAATCCTAGAGTTGGAAGAGACCCCAAAGGCCATCTGGTCCGACCCACCTTCTGGCAAGGAGACACAATCAAAGCTCTCCCAACAGATGGCCATCCGGCCTCTGTTTGAAAGCCTCCAGAGAAGGAGACTCCGTCAGACTCCAAAGTAGCATTTTCTACCATCAATCACCTCTTATCATCAGGAAGTTCTTCCTGATGTTTAGGTGGAATCTCTTTTCCTGTAATTTGAATGCCTGGCTCCATTGTGTCCTAGTCTCTGGAGCAGCAGAAAACAAGCTTATGCCAGTCCTCAGTAGGACATCCTTTCACATATTGAAATGTTGCTCTCACATAATCCAGATTATTTTCTTTGAACTGGATTATATGAGTCTACACTACCAAATAATCCAGTTCAAAGCTAATAATTTGGACTTTATATGGCAGAGGAGATAGGACCCACAACTCCTCAGTCCCTTCCACATGGACTGTTTTCAAGCCTAATGTCAATATTGGTGCAAATAGGATGGGTGACAGTTTGCAACAAACATTAATCCCTTGTGTCCCATATTCCCATTAGATGTACCTGTTAAACTGGAAAAATTTTGGACTCCTCCAAAAATACCAAAACGTAAGCAGGAGGATAGGCTCCTTCAGTCATTTGATCCATTGCTAAGTCTGAATTCTGGATTCGTAGCCTGCCTTTAAGTTACTTCACTCCTACATTTTCTGGCTTCGCCGGAGCTCCATAGGATTTCCTGCCAATGCCTCTCTCCTGAAGTATGGCATTCCCATCATAAAAGGGGGAAAATACACATCCCATGAGATCCATGATTCCGGATTCTATAAATATTACGTCTATAAATCTCATCCGGGCTGAAACGCCATTAATCTTACGTTGGGACTTTGTGGTTTGCAACGAGAAATGATGCGTAATGCAGTGGCTGCAAACATGAACCGGGAGCGCCTGGTGCAAGTCTTTATTCATGTATGAAACCACATGAACTGCCTTGGCTGGGAGTTGAAGTTTGGTGAGGCACCAGCACTCTTTGCAACGCCTCACCAAAAGACCTTGTAAAACTATAACTCCCAGGATTCCCTAGCATGAAGTCATGGCAGTTAAAGTGGTGCCAAACTGCATTAGTTCTACAGTGTAGATCAGGTATGGGCAAACCCAGGTCTGGGGGCCAGATGCGGCCCTTGGGCTCTTTTCTCAGGCCCTCCTCTCTCTCTCACCATCCTATCCTTCCTTCTCTCGTTCCTTCCTCTTTCCATCTTTCCCTTCCTTCCTTACCTCCCTCTTTCTCCTTCCCTCTTTCCTTCACTTCCATCCCTCTTCCCTCTCTCCTTCCTTCCTTCTTCCTTCCTTCCTTCCTTCCTTCCTTCCTTCCTTCCTTCCTTCCTTCCTTCCTTCCCTTTTGTCTTTTCTTCCTTCTCCCTCCATTCCCTTCCACCCTTACTTCCTTCAGTTCTTCTCTTCCTCCCTTTTCTCTTTTCTTCCTCCTTCCATCCTTCATTTCCTTCCTTACCTCCCTCTTTCTCCTTCCCTCTTTCCCCTTCCTCCCTCTTCCCTCTCTCCTTCCTCCTTCCTTCCTTCCTTCCTTCCTTCCTTCCTTCCTTCCTTCCTTCCTTTCCCTTTTGTCTTTCCTTCCTTCTCCCTCCATTCCCTTCCACCCTTACTTCCTTCAGTTCTTCTCTTCCTCCCTTTTCTCTTTTCTTCCTCCTTCCATCCTTCATTTCCTTCCTTACCTCCCTCTTTCTCCTTCCCTCTTTCCTTCACTTCCATCCCTCTTCCCTCTCTCCTTCCTTCCTTCCTTCCTTCCTTCCCTTCCTTCCTTCCTTCCCTTTTGTCTTTTCTTCCTTCTCCCTCCATTCCCTTCCACCCTTACTTCCTTCAGTTCTTCTCTTCCTCCCTTTTCTCTTTTCTTCCTCCTTCCATCCTTCATTTCCTTCCTTACCTCCCTCTTTCTCCTTCCCTCTTTCCTTCACTTCCATCTTTCTTCCCTCCTCTCCTTCCTTCCTTCCTTCCTTCCTTCCTTCCTTCCTTCCTTCCTTCCTTCCTTCCTTCCCTTTTGTCTTTTCTTCCTTCTCCCTCCATTCCCTTCCACCCTTACTTCCTTCAGTTCTTCTCTTCCTCCCTTTTCTCTTTTCTTCCTCCTTCCATCCTTCATTTCCTTCCTTACCTCCCTCTTTCTCCTTCCCTCTTTCCTTCACTTCCATCCCTCTTCCCTCTCTCCTTCCTTCCTTCCTTCTTCCTTCCTTCCTTCCCTTTTGTCTTTTCTTCCTTCTCCCTCCATTCCCTTCCACCCTTACTTCCTTCAGTTCTTCTCTTCCTCCCTTTTCTCTTTTCTTCCTCTTTCCATCTTTCCCTTCCTTCCTTACCTCCCTCTTTCTCCTTCCCTCTTTCCTTCACTTCCATCCCTCTTCCCTCTCCTTCCTTCCTTCCTTCCTTCCTTCCTTCCTTCCTTCCTTCCTTCCTTCCTTCCCTTTTGTCTTTTCTTCCTTCTCCCTCCATTCCCTTCCACCCTTACTTCCTTCAGTTCTTCTCTTCCTCCCTTTTCTCTTTTCTTCCTCCTTCCATCCTTCATTTCCTTCCTTACCTCCCTCTTTCTCCTTCCCTCTTTCCTTCACTTCCATCCCTCTTCCCTCTCTCCCTTCCTTCCTTCCTTCCTTCCTTCCTTCCCTTTGTTTCTTTTCTTCCTTCTCCCTCTTCCCTTCCCCCTTCTTCCTCTTTTCTTCTCTCCTTCCCTTTTCTCTTTTCTTCTCCTTCCATCCTTCATTTCCTTCCTTACCTCCCTCTTTCTCCTTACCTCTTTCCTTCTTTTCCACACTTCCTTCCCTCTTTCCTCTCTCCTTCCTTCACTTTTGTCTTTCCTTCCTTCTCTTTCCTTTCTCCTTTCCTCCATTCCCTTCCACCATTTCTTCTCTTTTTTCCTTCCTCCCTCCCTTCTCTTTTTCCTTCTTTCTTTCCTCCTGGGGGATGTTTACCTGGGAGAAGAGAAGGTAGAGAAGGAACATGAGAAGGGTGTCCCATTGAAGAAAAGGGTGAGAACTGACTTCCTTCTTCTCTACAGACCAGGGCACATGGGAGAACTGGGTTCAAATGGCAAGGAAAGAGATTCAACTGAAAAGATTAAGAGGAACTTCCTAAGAGTAAGAACAGTCCAATGAGTGTCCATCACCCCTCAAAACACACACACAAAACCCCAGCGAAGCAGACTTAAAACCCCCCAAAATGCACCATATATACATATATACATACACTCATATGCATATACACATGCACACATTCGTATATATATGCACAAACATACACAAATATACACATATACACATACATACATATACATACACACATATATACACATGCACACACAAATATACATATATACACACATATACATATACACATGCACACATATATGCATATAAACAAGCACACACATATACACAATATGCATGTACACATATAAACACGCAAATACACATGCACACACACATATATATGCAAACACACATATATACACAAATATATACACACACAAAACACATATACACAGACTAGGCCACAGCAACGCAGGGCGGGTGTAGCTAGTATCTATATAAATAAAAATGTAATGTTTGTTTGTGGGATTAACAGAACTCCAAAACCACTGGATGAATTGACACCAAATTTGGACACAAGACATCTCTCAGGCCAATGAGTGACCATCACTCATTAAAAAACTGAAAAACACAGCAAAAAGGGACGTAAAAAGCCAAAAAATAAGATAAAAATACATTACATTACAACATATGCACATAACCACACATATACACGCCCAGTGTTTATTTTAAATTGTTTATCTAGTACATCTGGCCCAACCATAGGTTTTACATTTTTGTGTGTTATTTCCTATATGTGAGTTATATTAATTGTATTGTTTTCTTTGCTTACCGCTTTGTTGTTTTATTGATGTGTTGTTGGGCTTGGCCTCATGTAAGCCGCCCCGAGTCCCCCTGGGGAGATGGTGGCGGGGTGTAAATAAAGTTATTATTATTATTATTATTATTATACACAACTATATACACACACATATACACACACAACACAACACATATACACAGACTGGGCCACAACAGTGCATAGCAGGGGACAGCTAGTGTTCAATATGGACACGGCATGGATATTGTAAGGCAATTTCCCTTATAACTCCCACTATCCCCAGCCAGCATGGCCACTGGGACCCACCATTCCTTCAAACTGGGTAGACTGGAGTAGGTTGAAGCTGTTGCAACAACACAGTTCCTCCACAAACAAACACAATGAGGATATGCGGGTTTATTTTTGGTAAACAAACACATTTTGATAAATAATATATTGTATGAGGGTATGTATTTTGGGAAATGAGCACATAGTGTGTTTTGCCTTAACAGGTCAGAGGCGGCTGTGGGAAGCGGTCAAAAGGAGGAAAGCAGTATGCAAACGGAAATCCTGGATGAGCAAGGTAAACAAACAGTCCTTCATGAGGACTAGAAACTTGTCAAGCTTCTTAAAAACAAGAATTTCAGGGCAGTGGTTTCCTTGGACTGAGCAAGACCAAGAAGCAATACATAATAATGTGTTGTCAAAGGCTTTCATGGCCAGAATCACTGGGTTGCTGTGAGTTTTCCGGGCTGTCTGGCCATGTTCAAGAAGCATTCTCTTCTGACGTTTTGCCCACATCTATGGCAGGCATCCTCAAAAGTTGAGGGGTCTGTTGGAAACTAAGCAAGTGAGGTTTATATATCTGTGGAATGATGTCCAGAGTGGGAGAAAGAACTATTGTTGGAGTTAGGTGTAAATGTTTAAATTGATTACCTTGATTAGCACTGAATAGCCTTGCAGCTTCAAGGCTTGGCTGCTTCCTGCCTGGGGGAATGCTTTGTTGGGCGGTGATTAGCTGATGCTTATATATCTGTGGAATGTCCAGGGTGGGAGAAAGAACTCTTGTTTGCTTGAGGCAATTGTAAATGTTGCCTTTGGCCACCTTGCAAACCTTGCAACCTCTGAGGGTGCCTGCCATAGATGTGGGCGAAATGTCAGGAGAGAATGATACTGGAACATAGCCAGACAGCCCAGAAAACTCACAACAACCCAATACGTAATATTTTCACATTTGTCATTCTTTATTATTTTTTAAAAAGCAACTAACCTGAAATCTAGTTTAAGCACCTGAGGCTGTTAGGAATTGTGGGAGTTGGAGTCCAAAACACCTGGAGGGCCCAAGTTTGACCATGCCTTTTTTTATAGAATCGCCATAAGTTGAAACCAGTTTGAAGGCAAATAACCCCACATTTGCACACCATTGCCATCAGGCTTGTTGGGTTGGTTTTGCACGCCTGCCTTTGCCTGTTATTGTTGTTGTTGTTGTTGTTGTATTTTGATCCTATTGTTGACTCAAAAGTGGGTGACCTCTCTGAATCAGGCCAGGCGAATGCATCTGCCAGCAGACGGACAGCGTCACAAGGGACTCTTGCCAATCTCTAGGGTTTATAACCAGTGGCCTGGAATAAATGGGGCGACCGAGAGTGATGAGACTCTTTGGCTAATTGATGGTGCTCTGCGCATTAGTCCTCCTCCCAGCACAAAGCAATTAACCGCCTCCCTGTCCCTGGCCCTGAAAGCTTATTAGCCAGAGGGAAGTGAATATATGTGTGTGTGTGTGTTGTTTTCATCCTACTAGCACCCTCTTCTGGCAGCACTTACAGATATAGACCTCACAACCTCTGAGGATGCTTGCCATAGATGCAGGCGAAACATCAGGAGAGAATGCTTCTAGGACATGGCCATATGGCCCGAAAAACCTACAGCAACCCAGTGATCCCAGCCATGAAATCCTTCGACAATATGTTTAACACTTATAGAATCAAGTCCTAGGCAAAGTTTGGCAACTTCTTTGGATTGCAGTGCCCCAAATCCACCAGCATTTCCCCAGATTTTGGTATATTTGTGAGATGTTGTTGTTGTTCATTCGTTCAGTCGTCTCCGACTCTTCGTGACCTCATGGACCAGTCCACGCCAGAGCTCCCTGTCGGCCGTCAGCACCCCCAGCTCCTTCAAGGTCAGTCCAGTCACTTCAAGGATGCCATCCATCCATCTTGCCCTTGGTCGGCCCCTCTTCCTTTTGCCTTCCACTTTCCCCAGCATCATTGTCTTCTCTAGGCTTTGCCGTCTCCTCCAAAGTACTTCAGCTTTGTCTCTAGTCTCCTTCCTTCCAGTGAGCAGCCGGGCTTTATTTCCTGGAGGATGGACTGGTTGGATCTTCTCGCAGTCCAAGGCACTCTCAGCACTTTCCTCCAACACCACAGCTCAAAAGCATCGATCTTCCTTCGCTCAGCCTTCCCTAAGGTCCAGCTCTCACATCCGTAGGTGACTACAGGGAATACCATTGCTTTGACTATGCGGATCTTTGTTGCCAGTGTGATGTCTCTACTCTTTACTATTTTATCGAGATTGGACATTGCTCTCCTCCCAAGAAGTAAGCGTCTTCTGATTTCCTGGCCACAGTCTGCATCTGCACTCATCTTTGCACCTAGAAATACAAAGTCTGTCACGGCCTCCACATTTTCTCCCTCTATTTCCCAGTTGTCAATCATTCTTGTTGCCATAATCTTGGTTTTTTTGATGTTTAGCTGCAACCCGGCTTTTGCGCTTTCTTCTTTCACCTTGATGAGAAGGCTCCTCAGCTCCTCCTCGCTTTCGGCCATCAGAGTGGTGTCATCTGCATATCTGAGGTTGTTAATGTTTCTTCCAGCAATTTTCACCCCAGCTTTGCATTCATCAAGCCCCGGACATCCTCGCATGATGTGTTCTGCATACAAGTTAAAAAGGTTGGGTGAGAGTATGCAGCCTTGCCGTACGCCTTTCCCAATCATAGAATCAAAGAGTTGGAAGAGACCTCATGGGCCATCCAGTCCAACCCCATTCTGCCAAGAAGCAGGAATATTGCATTCAAATCACCCCTGACAGATGGCCAACCAGCCTCTGTTTAAAAGCTTCCAAAGAAGGAGCCTCCACCACACTCCGGGGCAGAGAGTTCCACTGCTGAACGGCTCTCACAGTCAGGAAGTTCTTCCTCATGTTCAGATGGAATCTCCTCTCTTGTAGTTTGAAGCCATTGTTCCATTGCGTCCTAGTCTCCAAGGAAGCAGAAAACAAGCTTGCTCCCTCCTCCCTGTGGCCCCCTCTCACATATTTATACATGGCTATCATATCTCCTCTCAGCCTTCTCTTCTTCAGGCTAAACATGCCCAGCTCCTTAAGCCGCTCCTCATAGGGCTTGTTCTCCAGACCCTTGATCATTTTAGTCACCCTCCTCTGGACACATTCCAGCTTGTCAATATCTCTCTTGAATTGTGGTGCCCAGAATTGGACACAATATTCCAGATGTGGTCTAACCAAAACAGAATAGAGGGGTAGCATTACTTCCCTAGATCCTGAACCAGTCTGTTGTTCCGTGGTCAGTTCTGACTGTTGCTACTTGGTTCTTGTACAGATTCCTCAGGAGAGAGGCAAGATGCATATAGATGCAGACCATAGATGCAGGCAAAACATCAGGAGAAAATGCTTCTAGGACATGGCCATATGGCCCGAAAAACCTACAACAACCCAGTGATCCCAGCCATGAAATCCTTCGACAATACATTTAATACTTATAGAATCAAGTCCTAGGCAAAGTTTGGTAACTTCTTTGGATTGCAATGCCCCAAATCCACCAACCCGCATTTCCCCAGATTTTGGGAGATAGGTAGCAATAGATGCATAATGCTTGGTAAAAAACCATGTTCTCATTTCTCAGCTCCTCGCATTTCTTTATAGCCTTGTGTCTCATTCATTTGCTGGAGGGAGACCGAGGATTTGAGAGGCCAACCTGATATTTGGAGGAATATACTGAAGCTGGATCTACACTACTGTATAATCCAGATTATCAAAACAGATAATCCAGATTGAACTGGATTATATGAGGCTGCTTCTACACTGTCATATATAATCCATATAATCTGCTTTGGACTGGCAGTCCACATTATGTGGCAGTGTGGACTCATATAATCCAGTTCAAAGCAAATAATGTGGATTATCTGATTTGATAATCTGGATTATACAGCAGCGTAGACCCAGTCTGTCTACACTGACATATAATCCAGTTCAAAGCAGATAATCTGGATTGTATGCATACGGCAATGTAAGATCCCATCTACACTGGTATATAAAATCCAGGTTATCTGCCTTGAACTGGATTATATGGCTGTGTAGACTCAGATAATCCAGTTTAAATCTGATAATCTAGATTGTATATGGCATTGTAAGGCCCCTTCTACACTGCCATATAAAATCCAGATTATTTGATGTGAACTGGATTATATGGCAGTGCAGACTCATATAATCCAGTTTAAAGCAGATAATCCAGATTGTATATGGCATTGTAAGGCCCCTTCTACACTGCCATATAAAATCCAGATTATTTGATCGAGTTCAAAGACAATAACCTAGATTGTATATGGCAGTGTAAGGCCCCTTCTACACTGCCATATAAAATCCAGATTATTTGATGTGAACTGAATTATATTGCAGTGTAGATTTATATAATCCTGTTCAAAGACAATAAAATAGATTGCATATGGCAGTGTGAGGCCCCTTCTACATTGCCATATAAAATCCAGATTATCTGCCTTGAACTGGATTATATGGCTGTTTAGACTCAGATAATCCAGTTCGAATACAATAATCTAGATTGTATATGGCATTGTAAGGCCCCTTCTACACTGCCATATAAAATCCAGATTATTTGATGTGAACTGGATTATATGGCTGTTTAGAATCAGATAATCCAGTTCAAATCAGATAATCTAGATTGTATGTGGCATTGTAAGGCCCCTTCTACACTGCCATATAAAATCCAGATTATCAGATGTGAACTGGATTATATGGCAGTGTAGACCTACTGTTGGGGAAATGGTAACTCCCTTTCAACAAACATCAAAGCAAACAATGCAGATTATCTGCTTTGCACGAGATTATATTAAATCCAGTTCAAAGCAGATAATCTGCAATATTTTCTTTGATAATCTGGATTATGTAACAGTGTAGATCCAGCCTAAATGTGTATTCATTGCATGCCTCCATGTGCATCCATACTGTAGAATGAATACAGTTTGACACCACTTTAACTTCCAGAGCTCAATGCCATGTAATCCTTGGAGTTTGGAGAGGCTCTGGCACTCTCCTGCATAGAAGGCTCAAGACCTTGTAAAACTACAAATCCCCGGATTCCATACCATTAAGCCACAGCAGTTCGAGTGATGTCAAACTGCATTCGTTCACCATTAATTCTCAAACAACTTGGAGCTGGAAGATGGAGCAAAACCGGAACAAACGGAAAGCGCCTACACGCATGCGTGCGTACATTGGGCATGTCTTTAAAGAAAGCGGTCCCAGGAGAGCCTTTTCCCCCCTTTGAAAACAAACTCTGCTTTTGCCAGGTTTTGTTCTGTTTGGTTTTGATCAGGCCAACATCTGCTCGGTCTTGCTGGTTCCTGAGACCGAAACAGGGGGCTGCCGCTGGGTATTTTGATTATTCTAACAGCGTTTAAGGGCTGGAAGTGTTTCCACGGGATTTCAATTGACTGGTTTGTTTAATCCTGCTTTAATGTTTATATGTTGTGGATGTTAAATTGTACTTTGTCAGATGGGAAACGACTGAAGTCATGTATTGTCGAAGGCTGTCATGGCTGGAATCACTGGGTTGTTGTAGGTTATATGTCCATGTTCTAGAGGCATTCTCTCCTGACGTTTCGCCTGCATCTATGGCAAGCATCTTCAAAGGTAGTGAGGTCTGTTGGAACTAGGAAAATGGGTTTATATATCTATGGAAAGACTAGGGTGGGACAAAGGACTCTTGTCTGCTGGAGCTGGGTGTGAAGGTTTCAACTGACCACCTTGATTATCATTTGATAGCCTGGCAGTGCCTGGGGCAATCTTTTGTTGAGAGTTGATTAGCTGTCCCTGATTGTTTTCCCTCTGCTGTTTTGCTGTTTTAATTTTAGAGTTTTTTAATACTGGTAGCCAGATTTTGTTCATCACCTGGAGCTAGGTGTGAATGTTTCAACTGACCACCTTGATTAGCATATAATGGCCTGACAGTGCCTGGAGCAAACTTTTGTTGAGAGGTGATTAGATGTCCTTGTTCGTTTCCTCTCTGTTGGTGTGCTGTTGTAATTTTAGAGCCCGAAAAAACCTACAACAACCCAGTGATTCCGGCCATGAAAGCCTTCGACAATACAAGGAGAGAAAGATTGAGGGAAGGTTGGCCACAGCAACATGTGGCGGGTGCAGCTAGTAATAAATAGATGCAGTTGGTTGTGATCTCTTTAAACTCAACCAAATTTGATTCCCAGCAATTATCAGGAAAATATTAAGTTAGCATTCTTCGCTGGCACGGAGCCCGGTTCTCCATCTGTTGCTTCTCAGGCTGGATCTCCACTGCCCAATATCCCAGGATCTGATCCCATATTACCTACTTTGAACTGGATTATATGTGCCTACACTGCCAGATAATCTGGGATAAGAACATAATCTGGGATCAGATCAAATCATAGAATCCTAGAGTTGGAAGACAACTTGAGGGCCATCCCGTCCAAACCCATTCTGCCAAGAAGCAGTAAAATCGTGTTCAAATCACCCCTGACAGATGGCCATCTGTTTAAAAGCCTCTATAGAAGGAGTCTCCACCACACTCCAGGGCAGAGAGTTCCACTGCTGAACAGCTCTCACAGTCAGGAAGTTCTTCCTAATGTTCAGGTGGAATCTCCTTTCCTGTCGTTTGAAGTCCTGTAGTTTCCAGGACAGCAGGAAACAAGTTCCCTCCTCCCTATGACTTCCTCTCACATATTTATACATGGCCCTCATCATGTCTCCTCTCAGTCTTCTCTTCTGCAGGCTAAACATGCCCAGCTCCTTAAGCCACTCCTCATAGGGCTTGTTTTCCAGACCCTTGATCATTTTAGTCGCCCTCCTCTGGACACATTCCACCTTGTCAACATCTCTCTTCAATTGTGGTGCCCAGAATTGGACACAATATTCCAGGTGTGGTCTAACCAAGGCAGAATAGAGCATGGGGAGCATGACTTCCCTAGATCTAGACACTAGGCTCCTATTAATGCAGGCCAAAATCTCATTGGCTTTTTTTGCCACCACATCACATTGTTGGCTCATGTTTAACTTGTTGTCCATGAGGACTCCAAGATCTTTTTCACACGCACTGCTCTCGAGCCAGGCGTCCCCCATTCTGTATCGTTGCATTTCATTTTCCCTGCCAAAGTGGAGTATCTTGCATTTGTCACTATTGAACTTCATTTTGTTAGTTCTGGCCAATCATCTCTCTAATCTGTCAAGATCGTTTTGAATCCTGCTCCTGTCCTCTGGAGTATTGGCTCTCCCTCCCAATTTGGTGTCGTCTGCAAACTTGATGATCATGCCTTCTAGCCCTTCATCTAAAGATTAGGAAAGGAATTCCACCTAAATTCCACCAAATTAGGAAAGGTGGCGGAGTGGGTTAAAGCACTGCTCTGCTGAGCTTGTTGATCGAAAGGTTGCAGGTTCAATTCCGGGGAGTGGCATGAGCTTCCGCTGTCAGCCCTAGCTTCAGCCAACCTAGCAATTCGAAAACATACAAATGTGAGTAGATCAATAGGTACCGCTCCGGCGGGAAGGTAACGGCGCTGCATGCAGTCATGCCGGCCACATGACCTTGGAGGTGTCTACGGACAACGCTGGCTCTTCGGCTTAGAAATGGAGATGAGCACCACACCCCAGAGTCAGACACGACTGGACTTAATGTCAGGAGACTACCTTTACCTTTACCTAGGAAAGGAAATCCACCTAAATATTAGGAAGAACTTTATTTCAAGAAACGCTGAACAGTGGAGTAGGAAGGTCTTAAATACACTTAGGGCCCCCTTCTACACTGCCACGTAATCCAGATTATCAAAGCAGATAGTCCACATTATTTGCTTTGAACTGGATTATATGCACTTCCAAATAATCCACTACCTTCCAGGTGTATGATCCCGTGTCCCTTTCCTTCCGCACAGGTGTTCAGCGGGAAGCGGCCGGACTCGGAGTTTGTTCCCCACCCGCCGGGAGGTCTGTGCAAGAGGGCCACTCCACCCCTGCTGGACGAGAGCCAGCACCAAGCCTTGACCTGCTTGATCAGCGAGAAGGATCTGGTGCTCTTTGAGAAGCTGGGGGACGGCTCTTTCGGGGTGGTGCGGCGCGGGGAGTGGGGCGCTCCCTCCGGCAAACTGGTAAGTTGGCCACGCTCCTCTGTCTCTCAAGCCCTTTGGTCTCCCTACGGATGTCCTGGTCCTCAAACGCTCTCGGCTTCATTTGGAAGAATGCTGCACCCTGAGTCCCCCCTCGGGAGTGAGAAGGATGGGGTACAGGTGGATGGAAGAAATTTATTTTATTTTATCGTGACATCAGCAACCATACCATTGTATTACATTTCTAACAGAACAAAACAAACAAACAGAGAGAGAAAAAACACAAAATTTTGCAAACTTGGCATTCTATTAAATGTCCTTTGACCAGTATCTGGCCACTTGGAGTGCCTCTGGTGTTGCCGCAAGAAGGCCCTCCATGGTGCATGTGGCAGGGCTCAGGGTGCATTGCAGCAGGTGGTCAGTGGTTTGTTCTTCTCCGCACTCGCATGTCGTGGATTCCACTTTGTGGCCCCATTTCTAAGGTTGGCTCTGCATCTCGTGGTGCCAGAGCGCAGTCTGTTCAGCGCCTTCCAAGTCGTCCGTCTTCTGTGTGCCCAGGGGGGAGTCTCTCATTTGGTATCAGCCATGGATTGAGGTGCTGGGTTTGAGCCTGCCACTTTTGGACTCTCGCTTGCTGAGGTGTTCCAGCGAGTGTCTCTGTAGATCTTAGAAAACTATTTCTAGATTTAAGTCATTGACGTGCTGGTTGATACCCAAACAGGGGATGAGCTAGAGATGTCTCTGCCTTGGTCCTTTCACTATTGGCTGCTACTTCCCGGCGGATGTCAGGTGGTGCAATACCGGCTAAGCAGTGTAATTTCTGCAGTGGTGTAGGGCGCAGACACCCCGTGATAATGCGGCATGTCTCATTAAGAGCCACATCCACTGTTTTAGTGTGGTGAGATGTGTTCCACACTGGGCATGCATACTCAGCAGCAGAGTAGCATAGCGCAAGGGCATATGTCTTCACTGTGTCTGGTTGTGATCCCCAGGTTGTGCCAGTCAGCTTTCATATGATATTGTTTCTAGCACCCACTTTTCTGCTTGATGTTCAGGCAGTGCTTCTTGTAGGTCAGAGCACAGTCCAGAGTGACTCCCAGGTATTTGGGTGTCTTCATCCTTCTTTTTCCTTAATTTCCATCATGAATTTTTCCATCTCAGAATTTTAATACGCTTCTGTCCTTGTTTTGTTTTTTTCCTTTCCCAGCTGAACGTGGCCGTGAAGTGCCTCAAGACGGACGTGTTGAGCCAGCCGGAAGCCCTGGACGACTTTATCCGCGAGGTCAACGCAATGCATTCTTTGGACCACGTCAACCTCATCCGCCTCTATGGCGTGGTGCTCTCCAACCCCATGAAGATGGTGAGGATGACTCATTGACTTATAGAATCATAGAACTGGAAGAGACTGCATGGACCATATAGTCCAACCCTCTTCCATACAGGAAATCACAATCAAAGAACCCCAGACAGATGGCCTTCCAGACTCCATTTTGTCTCTGGCTTTTGGATTGTCCATTGAAGGGAACATATCGTGTCCTCAGAAGAAACTCCTAGTTTAATATATTGTCGAAGGCTTTCATGGCCGGAATCACTGGGTTGTTGTAGATTTTTTCAGGCTACGTGGCCATGTTCTAGAGGCATTCTCTCCTGACGTTTCGCCTGCATCTATGGCAAGCATCCTCAGAGGTAGTGAGGTCTGTTGGAACTAGGAAAAAACTCCTAGTTAGTTTTCTAGAATTATTTCATAGGTTTATATAAGTTGGAAGGGACTCCGGGGCCATCCAGTCCAACCTCCCTCTGCTAGTCAAAAATACAAACCCTCCCAACAGATGTCCATCCAGCCTCTGCTTAAAAATCTCCTGAGATGGAGACTCTGCCCCCTTCTACACTGCCATATAAATTGTATATATGTATATATGTATGTGTGTGTGTGTGTGTGTGTATGTATGTATGTATGTATGTATGTGTATATATATATATATATATATATATATATAATCAACAATCTTCTGCCAACCTAGCAGTTCGAAAACATGCAAATGTGAGTAGATCAATAGGTACCGCTCCGGCGGGAAGGTAACGGCGCTCCATGCAGTCATGCCGGCCACATGACCTTGGAGGTGTCTACGGACAACACTGGCTCTTCGGCTTAGAAATGGAGATGAGCACCACACCCCAGAGTCAGACATGACTGGACTTAATGTCAGGGGACTACCTTTACTTTTTATATATATATATATATATATATATATATATATATATATATATATATGGATTACCTGCTTTGATTTTATGGCATTGTAGACTCATATAATCCAGTTCAAAGATAATGTGAATTTTCTGTAGATTTGATAATCTGGATTATATGGCAGGGCAGAAGGGACCACAGTGCCCATGAGCCCCAGTCTGGTTGGGCAGCTTCCAGATAATATTCTCTTCCCATAAAAATGCACTATAAAATCGCATTCAAAGCACCCCTGACAGATGGCCATCCAGCCTGTGGACAATGTCAACAGAAAGGAGGAAACCATGAAAATGAACAAAATCTGGCTACCAGTATTAAAAAACTCTAAAATTAAAACAGCGCAACAACAGAGAGGAAACAAACAAGGACATCTAATCACCTCTCAACAAAAGATTGCTCCAGGCACTGCCAGGCAATCAAATGCTAATCAAGGTGGTCAGTTGAAACATTCACACCTAGCTCCAGCAGACAAGAGTCCTTTGTCCCACCCTGGTCATTCCACAGATATATAAACCCTTTTTCCTAGTTCCAACAGACCTCACTACCTCTGAGGATGCTTGCCATAGATGCAGGCGAAACGTCAGGAGAAATGCCTTTAGAACATGGCCATATAGCCCGAAAAAACCTACAACAACCCAGTGATTCCGGCCGTGAAAGCCTTCGACAATACATCCAGCCTCTGTTTGAAAGCCTCCAAAGAAGGAGCCTCCACCACCTTCCACAGTGGAACACTCCGCCCTGGAGTGTGGAGGAGGCTCCTTCTTTGGACGCTTTTAAACAGAGCCTGGATGGCCATCTGTCGGGGGTGCTTTGGATGTGATTGTCCTGCTTCTTGGCTTAATGGAGTTGGACTGGATGGTCCACAAGGTCTTTTCCAACTCTATGATTCTTCTCAACCAAGATGTAGACGAATGACCGTGAACTGCTTTCCCCTCCTGTGTCCTCAGGTGACGGAACTGGCACCGCTCGGCTCCCTCCTGGACCGCCTTCGCAAGAACCAGGGCCATTTCCTGATCGCCACCCTCTGCCTGTATGCCATCCAGATTGCCCAGGGCATGGCCTACTTGGAGTCCAAGCGCTTCATCCACCGCGACCTGGCTGCCCGCAACATCCTGCTGGCTGCCAACGACCTGGTCAAGATCGGCGACTTCGGCCTCATGCGGGCCTTGCCCAAGAACGATGACCATTACGTCATGCAAGAGCACCGCAAAGTCCCGTTTGCCTGGTGAGAGGATAGGATGGAGCAGATATGGCCAACTTGTTGTTGGAGCTCAGCCTGTGATTGTGTTTCAGGATCAGGGTGCTTTGGATGTGGGGAGTGATGTCAATGAGTTTCAAGATGGCAATGGTTTGGTCAATGATATTGATGCAGAGAATGACCAGGAGATCCCTGTTCAAAGTGTAGTTTCCCATGAGAATGTCCCTGAAGGGTGTGGGGATGATGGTGTACTCCCTAAATTGTTACCAGAGAGTTCCCAGGATTTGGGGCTTGAAAACAACTCAGCACCTGGCCCAGCTGCAGAAATTAATGAGCAAATAGATGGGAGGAGATTAGTCAAATAGACAAGCCAAACAGTGGCTTTGGCGTTCTGACAGGCTCTGACAGAAAAAGATAAGAGAATCTCAACTAAAACGAAACCTTAACGAGGAGATAAAAGTTCCAAATACGGGAAATGTAGCCAGATGAAGCATCATTTGGAACCAAGTTAAGTTCTCATCCTTGTTTCATGGAAGCCTTGCTTGGAAGATTGATGCTTAAGTACTTCTTGTTTCATGGTTTTGATTCTTGGATTTTATGATTGCATACCATGTTTTGGATTAATGTTTCCTGGTTTTCTGGATTTTATTAGAGAAATGTGGACTTTGTTTTCATGAACTTCAGGGGTGATTTGAATGCAATATTCCTGCTTCTTGGCAGGGTGTTGGACTGGATGGCCCATGAGGTCTCTTCCAACTCTTTGATTCTATGATTCTATGACTTTGCTGAACTTTACCCTGGACTATTTTGTTCCTGCTTATCTTCTTACCTAATTGGATTTACCTATTTCTTTAAAGTGCTTTCTACTTTGCTGCTTTTAAATTATCTTCAATAAAAGGATTGTTTTCCAATCAATTGTGTGGTGTTTACAGTCAGAGGGCTTTTCCTGTCCTGGAGTGCAATGCTTGGGCCCTCCATGTTGTTACTCAGCTGGAACCACAGACACAGACTGATAGTATTGTGACTCAGATGGGGTCTCAGAGTGACTCTGACGAGGATGATGGGATTCAGGTTCAAAATGTTCCTGTTGTAGACAATGAGGAACAGGCTGTGCAGGTTCAGTTTCCCACAACAGGGAATGATGTTTTTGATACTGAAACTAGTCAGTGTTGCAACCCAGAGCAGGAAACTGGACCCTCAGACAACAATCCACCACACTTGGCTTCAGAAAAACAATCCTTTTTTATTGATGAAAGATGAATACAAAATAGAGGAAAAATGCAAAGGTAAAAAGCCACAGTAAAAATCAGCAACAAGAAATTTTCATAAACAAGATCATAAAACCCACTGCAAAACTGCTGAATCCTGGAACTTGTTAGCAAATCCACTAACCGTACTTGGAACAACTAGAAAACCTCCGAGGAACAAGGTCACTTGAATCAGGAGACCTGCAAACGCTGGCACATGAAACTGGAACGATGCCTGGTCTGAAGCTGTATTCAGGCCAGGCATATTTAAGGCCAAGAAATCTATTGCGAGACACGCCTGAAGTTTTTGTTTGGATTTCTTTCAATCTGGCTGACCTACGTAAACATTGTGCTTCTCCCCGACTCTGCCAAATCTGCCCCCGCCTATCCTCATTAGGCAGGCCAGGTGTCCGATTCTCTGGAGAACTAAAACTGGGAGGAAAAGGGAGTGAAACGTCTCTGCTCGGTTCGGAATGCATGTTCTCATGGGAATCTTGACTTTCGCTTTCCAAGGCTGAAAGATTTTCACTACTCAAACCATCATCATCTAAATTGGCCTCAGAATTCACATTGACATCTACATGGACATCAGGAAATACAATCAGAGAATCAGGTTCAGGTTCACACACAGGCTGAACCCCAAAAATCAGGTGCAAATTGACTCAAAAAAGGAGGACAGCTCTCAGCCTGATAGTAAGCAAGAAGGCAACCAGGCTGACACTAACGAGCAGCCTAACCTTGATGAAACGGGAATCTTAGATCGGGCTGACCGTTTGGAATTCAGAGTTCGAAGGAGTGTGAGAATAGCCAACAAGAAGGAGGTCAGAGGCCAAAGAAATGCTTTCATGTATTGCAAAGGGTATTAAGCAGTGTGTTTGAAAACAAACCTTTGTCAGAGCAACTTTTTGCTCAACCAAGCAGCTTGTGCTCGTTTGTCTGGATTATCTTGTAGTTCTTGTGTTCATGGTCTTGGGACTTTTTCACGCTCTCTTGAGATTTCGTTTTGTTGGTGCCTCTTGGAATTCTGCTTTACAGTGCTGTGTTTTATTTATCTTTTGGAACATTACTTGCTTTTAAAAACTTTTTTCTTTTACTTTTCAATCTATATATATATATAAAATGTTCTGTGCATAATGAGTACCCTAAAAACAAAAGAACCAATGAACGAAATCACACCAAATTTTGCAACAAAACGTCTCACAACACAAGGAGTGACCATCACTCAAAAATATGATTTTGTCATTTGGGAGTTGTAGTTGCTGGGATTTATAGTTCTATAAGCAAAGAGCATTCTGAACCCCACCAACAATGGAATTGAACCAAACTTGGCACACAGTTCTCCCATGACCAACAGAAAACACTAGAAGGGTTCGGTGAGCATTGACCTTGCGTTTGGGAGTTGTAGTTCACCTACATCCAGAGATCACTGTGGACTCAAACAATGATGGATCTGGACCAAACTCTACACAAATACTCAATATGCCCAAATGTGAACACTGGTAGAGTTTGGGGAAAATAGAATCTCAACATTTGGGAGTTGTAGTTTCCGGGATTTATAGTTCACCTACAATCACAGAGCATTCTGAACCCCACCAACGATAGAGTTGGGCCAAACCCCCCACACAGAACCCCCATGACCATCAGAGTGGGCTGCAGCAACGCGTGGCAGGGGACAGCTAGTAATCTACAAAGACTTCAGTCCATGTGCAGTTTGGTGATTTCATCAAGGTGAATCTACTCTGAGGTGCGACGCTCCAGGTGTTTTGGACTCCAACTCTCACAATTCCTAGCAGGAATTGTGGGGGTTGTAGTCCAAAACACCTAGAGGGCCGAAGTTGGCCCATGCCTGGGATAGATGCATCCGTATCATCTTGGAAAGATGCTGTTTGGCTAGCCGTAAGCATCTCCTGTGTTTCCCCCACCTATCGCTTTGGCCATAGACTCCCTAGTGATGACCCTATTCTTTCCCCTTCTCTCTTCCTACCTGAACAGGTGTGCCCCTGAAAGCTTGAAGACCCGCACCTTCTCGCACGCCAGCGACACCTGGATGTTTGGAGTCACGTTATGGGAGATGTTCACCTACGGACAGGAGCCCTGGGTTGGCTTGAACGGCAGCCAGGTACGAGGCAGAAGCCAGCTCTGTAATGCGGCATGTGGCAGTGTAGAAGTGGCCTTACTCTGCACTTTCCTGGAAAGTCCTGAGATATTTTGGTATTGAACCAAAGTGTGTGAGTGTCTTTTGGTGGCTACTTGCTCCCAATGTGTTTTGAGCCAGCCTTGCTATCAAGCTTCTAGTCCTCATTATTTGTTGTGGACCATTCTTGACTTCTCCTCCTGAACTTCGCTTTCTCTGCCTAGATTTTGCACAAGATCGACAAGGAAGGCGAGCGGCTGGCCAGACCGGAGGACTGTCCCCAGGACATTTACAACGTCATGTTGCAGTGCTGGGCGCATAAACCGGAAGACCGGCCAACTTTCGTAGCCTTGCGGGACTTTCTCCTGGAGGTATTTAGCTTTGGGAATTGGGAGCAAAACCACAGTGGTGGCATTTGAAAGTCATTGTCCTTGTGTCCAAAGGCAAAGCCATTTGAAAGCAGATATCCTTGTGTCCAAACCAAGGTTATGTCTTTCGTTGGACTTCCTTGGATGTCACAAAGCCAGAGAATGACAAACCTGGAGTTATTTGCAGTTTCCAAACTATGTTTACATCGTAACAACAACAACAATAATGAATAGGTTCAATGCTTCTGTGGGGATTTGGGGTATAGGACCTCCAAGACAGTGGAATCTCTAGCTCATCTATAGGGAAAGTGTCACCACAAACACCTTCAACAGCTTTTTGGCCAATGTCCAGTTGTAAGTGGTAGCCATATTAGCTCCATGGTAGTAAAAACAGAAGATACCAACTCAAGTCTCCTTGTGGACAGACAGGTAAAGAGTAAAAGTTTTCGCCTGACATTAAGTCCAGTCGTGTCCGACTCTGGGCGTTGGTGCTGATCTCCATTTCTAAGCCGAAGAGCCGGCGTTGTCCATAGACACCTCCAAGGTCATGTGGCTGGCATGACTGTATGGAGCACCGTTACCTTCCCGTCGCCTGGGATTGCAACATTGATGATCCATACTTTGTTTTTTCCACTATCGTGAGGTCAGGAGTCTTGTGCTCCAAAACTCTGTCAGTCTGAATTCAGAAGTTGGAATCAGGCCCTCGTTTGTCTCCTTTTTCAAAGTTCCATTTTCGAGACACATCCATTTTGTTGTTGTTGTTGTTGTTGTTGTTGTTGTTGTTCATAGAATCATAGAATCAAAGAGTTGGAAGAGACCTCATGGGCCATCCAGTCCAACCCCCTGCCAAGAAGCAGGAATATTGCATTCAAATCACCCCTGACAGATGGCCATCCAGCCTCTGTTTAAAAGCTTCCAAAAAGGAGCCTCCACCACACTCCAGGGCAGAGAGTTCCACTGCTGAACGGCTCTCACAGTCAGGAAGTTCTTCCTCATGTTCAGATGGAATCTCCTTTCCTGTAGTTTGAAGCCATTGTTCCGCGTCCTAGTCTCCAGGGAAGCAGAAAACAAGCTTGCTCCCTCCTCCCTGTGGCTTCCTCTCACATATTTATACATGGCTATCATATCTCCTCTCAGCCTTCTCTTCTTCAGGCTAAACATGCCCAGCTCCTTAAGCCGCTCCTCATAGGGCTTGTTCTCCAGCCCTTGATCATTTTAGTCGCCCTCCTCTGGACACATTCCAGCTTGTCAATATCTCTCTTGAATTGTGGTGCCCAGAATTGGACACAATATTCCAGGTGTGGTCTAACCAAAGCGGAATAGAGCATGGGTAGCATTACTTCCTTAGATCTAGACACTATGCTGCTTTTGATGCAGGCCAAAATCCCATTGGCTTTTTCTGCCGCCACATCACATTGTTGGCTCATGTTTAACTTGTTGTCCACGAGGACTCCAAGATCTTTTTCACACGTACTGCTCTCGAGCCAGGCATTGTCCCCCATTCCGTATATTTGCATTTTGTTTTTTCTGCCTAAGTGGAGTATCTTGCATTTGTCCCTGTTGAACTTCATTTTGTTAGTTTTGGCCCATCATCTCTCTAATCTGTCGAGATCGTTTTGAATCCTGCTCCTGTGCTCTGGAGTATTGGCTCTCCCTCCCAATTTGGTGTCGCCTGCAAACTTGATGATCCTGCCTTCTAGCCCTTCATCCAAGTAATGAATGAAGATCCTGGGCAGGTCTGGGCCCAGGATGGAACCCTCCAGGTGGCACTCCACTCGTCACTTCTTTCCAAGATGAAGAGGAAGCCTTGGGGAGAGTCACCCTCTGGGTTTGTCCATTTAACCAACTACAGATCCACCTCACTGTAGTTTTGCCTAGCCCACATTGGACTAGTTTCCTTGCCAGAAGGTCATGGGGGACTTTGTGATTCTGGCTTTTTTATTTGAAAGACAACCAGATTAGTACACAGCAAACAAAATCACTATGTTGACTGTTGTATTGGATCACTCGTTGGCGTTGTTGTTGTTATTATCATCATCATTATCGTCATCACTAACTTTATTTATACCCCACTTGAACCCGTAAGTCTCAGAACAAACACTTCCGGATTTACGACTGTTCCCCCCCCCCCCCCCGATTTAAGGCTCCAGAATCTTTATGTCAACATTGAATGTTGTTCTTTTTGCACAAGTCCTTGTGTGTCCAGTTTCTTGTTGTGCATTCTGTGCTGCCACCTTGTGCCATAGGAGTCGAATTGCCACAGGMAGCCAGTCGACACATTTGGAGCGGTGACATGCAAACGAAGCTTTTTGAGTCCTCGAACCCTCCAGAAGACTATTTTTTGTGGCTTTGTCGTTTAGCATTGTGAATTCACAAAGTCCTTGATTATTCCATTCCTATTGCCTGAGTGTTTTGTATAACACAGTAGGCTGGGAAATAAAGAGAAAGCATTCTAAATAAATAAGGTGCCGTGATGACGCAGCGGGTTATACTGCTAAGCTGCAGAACTTGCTGACTTGAGGGATGGTGGTTTGAATCCACGGGACGGGGTGAGCTCCCACTGTTAGCCCCAGCTTCTGCATTTGGCCTGCCCTTTGTGTTTGATTTTTATCATGTTACTAGCCGTCCCCTGCCACGCGTTGCTGTGGCCCACATGGGGGTTCTGTGTGGGAGGTTTGGCCCAATTCTATCGTTGGTGGGGTTCAGAATGCTCTGTGATTGTAGGTGAACTATAAATCCCATCAACTTCTACTCCCAAATGTCAAGATTCTATTTTCCCCAAAATCCATCAGTGTTCACATTTGAGCATATTGAGTATTCGTGTAGAGTTTGGTCCAGATCCACTATTGTTTGAGTCCACAGTGATCTCTGGATGTAGGCGAACTACAACTCCAAAACCAAAGGACACTGTCCACCAAACCCTTCCAGTATTTTCTGTTGGTCATGGGAGAACTGTGTGCCAAGTTTGGTTCAATTCCATCGTTGGTGGAGTTCAGATGCTCTTTGATTGTAGGTGAACTATAAATCCCAGCAACTACAACTCCCAAATGACAAAATCATTTTTTTGAGTGAAGGACATACATTGGGTTATTAGGTGTATCGTGTCCAAATTTGGTGTCAATTCCCCCAGTGGTTTTTGAGTTCTGTGAATACCACAAATGAACATTACATTTTTATTTATATAGATTTTGGACTGTTTATTTTATTTTAAGTATTTTGTTGTGATGTAATTTTTCTGTTGTTTTGTGTCTAACTTGGATGTATTATTTCTGGGCTTGGCCTCATGTTAGTCGCCCGAGTCCCCATTGGGGAGATGTTGGCGGGGTATAAATAAAGATTATTATTATTATTATTATTATTATTATTATTATTATTATTATTCTGCCAGCCTAGCAGTTCGAAAACTTGCAAATGTGAGTAGATCAATAGGTACCGCTTCAGCAGGAAGGTAAGAGCACTCCATGCAGTCATGCCAGCCAAATGATCTAGGAGGTGTCTATGGACAATGCCAGCTCTTCGGCTTAGAAATGGAGATGAGCACCAATCCCAAGAGTCGGATTCAACTAGATTCAATGTCAAGGGGAAACCTTTATGTCCAACAGCTGAATGTATGAATCCCCAGGGCAGCATCCAACTTATTCCTAAATTTGTTTTTGATGTAAGTAAAAGGTCAAGGTTTTTCCCCTGATGTTAAGTCCAGTCGTGTCCAGCTGGGGGTTGGTAATCATCTCAATTTCTAAGCCAAAGAGCCGGCGTTGTCCATAGACGCCTCCAAAGTCATGTGGCTGGCATGACTGCATGGAGCGCCGTTTCTTTCCTGCCAGAGCGGTACCTATTGAGCTACTCACATTTGCATGCTTTCGAACTGCTAGGTTGGCAGAAGCCGGGGCTAACAGTGGGAGCTCACGCCGCTTCCCGGATTCGAACCTGCGACCTTTCGTACAGCAAGTTTAGCAGCTCAGCATTTCTAAGCCGAAGAGACGGCATTGACAGATCTTGACAGATTAGAGAGATGGGCCAAAACTAACAAAATGAAGTTCAACAGTGACAAATGCAAGATACTCCACTTAGGCAGAAAAAACGAAATGCAAAGATACAGAATGGGGGATGCATGGTTCGAAAGTAGTACGTGTTAAAAAGATCTTGGAGTTCTTGTGGACAACCAGTTAAACATGAGCCAACAATGTGATGCGGCAGCAAAAAAAAGCCAATGGGGTTTTGTCCTGCATCAATAGGAGTATAGTGTCTAGATCCAGGGAAGTCATGCTACCCCTCTATTCTGCCTTGGTTAGACCACACCTGGAATATTGTGTCCAATTCTGGGCACAATTGAAGGGAGATGTTGACAAGCTGGAATGTGTCCAGAGGAGGGTGACTATACTGATCAAGGGTCTGGAGAACAAGCCCTATAAGGAGCGGCTTAAAGAGCTGGGCATGTTTAGCCTGAAGAAGAGAAGGCTGAGAGGAGATATGATAGCCATGTATAAATATGTGAGAGGAAGCCACAAGGAGGAGGGAGCAAGCTTGTTTCCCGCTTCCCTGGAGACTGGGACGCGGAACAATGGCTTCAAACTACAAGAAAGGAGATTCCATCTGAACATGAGGAAGAACTTCCTGACTGTGAGAGCTGTTCAGCAGTGGAACTCTCTGCCCCGGAGTGTGGTGGACGCTCCTTCTTTGGAAGCTTTTAAACAGAGGCTGGATGGCCATCTGTCAGGGGTGATTTGAATGCAATATTCCTGCTTCTTGGCAGGGGGTTGGACTGGATGGCCCATGAGGTCTCTTCCAACTCTTTGATTCTATGATTCTATGATTGTCCATAGACGCCTCCAAGGTGATGTGGCTAGCATGACTGCATGGCGCGCCATTACCTTCCCCTGGAGCGGCCTATTGATCACTCACATTTGCATGTTTTGAACTGCTAGGTTGGCAGAAGCTGGGGCTAACAGTGGGAGCTCACCTCTGCTCCCCGGATTTGAACCTACGACCTTTCGTACAGCAGGTTCAGCAGCTCAGCGGTTTAACCCACTGAGCTGTAAGCAGAAGTGAAAAAGCTTGATTCAAAACAATAGATGGACATGAAAGGGCTGTTAGGAATTGTGGGAGTTGAAGTCCAAAACACCTGGAGGGAGGGCCCAAGTTTGCCCATGCCTGTTCCATGGTCTAAATGCAAGCCGAGACTCTTGAGTTGTCTCTTTGCAAGATTCGGCAACCCGGCGTGAATATTACTCATTTGTTTGTTGACTTTTGCAACGTGCGGGAGGGAGAGTCAACATCGGCTGCTATTAAAACATTACCGTCAGGGATTTTAATCATTTGAGATGTTTATCAGAAAGACATCAGCGTTGCTTCCCCCGATCTCCCCCAAGGCGAAGCTTGCACAGAACATGGAATACGCCTGACTCATTCCAGACAGATTTGGAATTGTGCTTGGGTTGACTCAAAAACAAAAACAAAGTTCAAACCCCTGCCCAACCATAGAAACCCATTGGGTAAGCTTAGGCAAGTCACACTCTCTCAGCCTCTGAAGCAGACCATAGCCAACCTCCTCTAAACGAGCTACGAGGGTTGAATGAAAAGTAATGCCTCCACCTTCGTTACTTGGGTTTGGATGGGATTCTATATAAATAAAAATGTAATGTTCGTTTGTGGGATTAACAGAACTCAAAAAACCACTTAATTGACACCAAAACAAGCTTGCTACCTCCTCCCTATGTCTTCCTCTCACATATTTATACATGGCTATCATATCTCCTCTCAGCCTTCTCTTCTTCAGGCTAAACATGCCCAGCTCCCCAAGCCGCTCCTCATAGGGCTTGTTCTCCAGACCCTTGATCATTTTAGTCGCCCTCCTCTGGACACATTCCAGCTTGTCAATATCTCTCTTGAATTGTGGTGCCCAGAATTGGACACAATATTCTGGGCATGCTTAGCCTGAAGAAGAGAAGGCTGAGAGGAGATATGATAGCCATGTATAAATATGTGAGAGGAAGCCACAGGGAGGAGGGAGCAAGCTTGTTTTCTGCTTCCCTGAAGACTAGGACGCAAGGGAACAATGGCTTCAAACTACAAGAGAGGAGATTCCATCTGAACATTAGGAAGAACTTCCTGACTGTGAGAGCCGTTCAGCAGTGGAACTCTCTGCCCGGAGTGTGGTGGAGGCTCCTTCTTTGGAAGCTTTTAAACAGAAGCTGGATGGCCATCTGTCAGGGGTGATTTGAATGCAATATTCCTGCTTCTTGGCAGGGGGTTGGACTGGATGATGGCCCAGGAGATCTCTTCCAACTCTGTGATTCTATGATTCTATGATTAACAGAACTCGAAAACCAGTGGGCCAATTGACACCAAATTTGGACAGCATATATCTAACAACCCAATGTATGTCCTTCACTCAAAAAAAATTTGATTTTGTCATTTTGGAGTTGTAGTTACTGTGATTGATAGTTCACCTAGAATCAAAGAGCATTCTGAACCCTACCAACGACAGAATTGGAGCAAAATTCCCACACAGAACCCCGATGACCAACAGAAAATACTTAAGGCCATCCAGTCCAACTCTCTTCACCAGGGCAAGAAAACGTAATTAAAGCCCTCCTGAAAAAGAACCATCCAGCCATAGATAGAGATAGATAGATATGATTCACACACACACAGAGATAGTATCATAGATTTGAAAGGGACCCCTAAAGAAGGACAATTGTATGTTGCATGTTCCAGAGTGGGCAAACCAGACACTCTCCACGCCAACACTCACAAAGAAACAGCAAGAAATACTGTTTACCCACAAGCATATAGAAATTACATATATTAGAGACCAACACTTTCTCATTACTTTATTTTCCAGATCACCAGACTGGGCAGGGGACGGCTATTATCTATATAAATAAAAATGTAATGTTCGTTTGTGGGATTAACATAACTCAAAAACAACTGGACGATTTGCTGCCAAATTTGGCCACAAGACACCTACTAACCCAAGGAGTGACCATCACTCAAAAAATTGAGTTTGTCATTTGAGAGTTGTAGTTGCTGGGATTTATAGTTTACTAACTTATTTATTTATTTACTTACAATCAAACAGCATTCTGAACTCCACCAATGAAAAAAAATGTGGCACACAGGACTCCCATGACCAACAGAAAACACTAGAAGGGTTTGGGAGTTGTAGTTCACCTACATTCAGAGAGCACTGCAGACTCAAACAATGATGGATCTGGACCAGGCTTGGCACAAATATTCCATATGCCCAAATATGAACACAGATGGAGTTAGTTTCCAACAAATCTCACAACCTCTGAGGATGCTTGCCACAGATGTAGGCAAAACGTCAGGAGAGAATGCTTCTAGAACAGTGATTCTCAACCTGGGGGTCGGGACCCCTGGAGGGGTCGTGAGGGGGTGTCAGAGGGGTCGCCAAAGAACATAAGAAAACACAGTATTTTCTGTTGGTCATGGGGGTTCTGTGTGTGAAGTTTGGCCCAATTCTATCATTGCTGGGGTTCAGCATGCTCTTTGATTGGAGGTGAACTATAAATCCCAGGAACTACAACTCCCAAATGTCAAGTCTCTTTTCCCCAAACTCCACTAGTGTTCACATTATTGAGCATTCATGCCAGTTTTGATCCAGATCCATCATTGTTTGAGTCCACAGTGTTCTTTGGATGTAGGTGAACTACAACTCCAAAACTCAAGGTCAATGTCCACCAAATCCTTCTAGTATTTTCTCTTGGTCATGGACATCCTGTATGTCATGTTTGGTTCAACTCTATTGTTTGTGGAGTTCAGAATGCTCTTTAAAGGTAGGTAAGTAAAGGTAGTCCCCTGACATTAAGTCCAGTCATGTCTGACTCTGGGGTGTGGTGCTCATCTCCATTTCTAAGCCGAAGAGCCAGGGTTGTCCATAGACACCTCCAAGGTCATGTGGCCGGCATGACTGCATGGCACACCGTTACCTTCCCGCCGGAGCGGTACCTATTGATCTACTCACATTTGCATGTTTTCGAACTGCTAGGTTGGCAGAAGCTAGGGCTGACAGCGGAAGCTCACGCCGCTCCCCGAATCGAACCTGCGACCTTTCGATCAACAAGCTCAGCAGCTCAGTGCTTTAACCCACTACGCCACCGGGGGCTCCACTCTATGATTTTACGTGAACTATAAATCCCAGCAACTACAACTCCCAAATGACAAAATAACCCACCCACCCACCTACCCCCAATATTCAAATTTGGGCGTATCGGGTATTTGTGTCAAATTTGGTCCTGGAAATGGAAATACATTCTGCATATCGGATATTAACACTACGATTCATAACAGTAGCAAAATCATAATTAGGAATTAGCAATGAAAATAATTTAATGGTTGGGGGTCACCACAACATGAGGAACTGTATTATGGGGTCACGGCATTAGGAAGGTTGAGAACCTGTTCTAGAACATGGCCATACAGCCTGAAAAACCTACAGCAACCCAGTGATTCTGGCCATGAAAGCCTTCAACAGGACCCGAACTGTTTTGGGCTTTGTAGGTGATCACCTGCACTATGTATTGGGGCCGGAAACTTATTGGCAGCCAATGGAGCTGTTTGAACACTGGGGTAGACTGCTCTCTGTAACTAACTCCCGTTAGTAATCTGGCTGCAGTTCTTTGGACCAACTATGGTTTCTGGGCCATCTTCAAAGGCAGCCCCATGTAGAGTGCATTACAGTAATCCAACCTGGAGGTAAGTAGGGTGTGGACCACCATGGCCAAGTCAGATTTCATGAGATACAGGCACAGCTTAGAAATGGAGATGAGCACCAACCCCCAGAGTCGGACACGACTGGACTTAATGTCAGGGGAAAACCTTTACCTTTTATAGTGGAGAGACATGCTGAAAAAACTACTATTTGCACACTTTTCATGAATGGAATTGAAAGCAATGGCCTTGGCGACTCCAAAAAGGAAAGGAAAGGAATTCCTATCCGCCCAAACAAAGTTCACAGAATCATAGATAGACTTGGACTCTGTGAATGTGTTGTGATATCCGTATCAATCTATGACTGCAAAGCTTTGCATCTTGACCCAATCTCCTCCTCCTCCTCCTCCTCCTCACTTCTCTTCCTCTTCCGTCCATCAGGCGCAACCCACGGATATGCGAGCCTTGCAAGACTTCGAAGAGCCCGACAAGCTGCTCATCCAGATGAATGATATCATCACAGTCATCGAGGGCAGGTACGTGGGCCGAGGTTCCCAGGGGGTTGTGCGTCTCTGGTCCGGTTTGGAGAGTGGCCTTTGGGCATATCTTGGTCGTGGGATGTGCAGCTGCACATGTGCGCCTTGGGGATGGTTGGATTATTTCCTTTTCCTCCTTCCCATTCTCAGAAAATGGGAAGAGCCATATATGATAGCTACCGTATTTACTTGAGTTTCATGCACCTTCAGATCTAATGCGCACTTCCATTTTCACAACTCTGAAACCAAAAAAAGTATTTGCTGGTGAATGTAATTGTTGGAGTTTGTGTTGGAGTTTGTGAGGTGTTCCAGCGAGTGTCTCTGTAGATCTTAGAAAACTAAAAATGAAATGCACAGAAATCAAATGGGTGATGCCTTGCTTGAACACAGCCCATGTGAAAGGGATCTCGGAGTCTTCATAGACCACAAACTGAACATGAGTCAACAGTGTGATGCAGCAGCTGAAAAAGCCAATGCAGTTCTAGATTGCATCCATAGAAGGACGGTGTCTGCATGGAGGCAAGTCATAGTCATACTGCATTCTGCTTTGATCAGACCTCTTTACCTGGAATTTCCAGTACAAAGCTGAACATGAGCCAACACTGTGATGCAGCAGCTGAAAAAACCAACCCAATTGAGGGCTGCATCCATCGGAGTAAAGTGTCAAAATCAAGCTAAATCATAGTCCGACTCTCTTCTGCTTTGGTCAGAACTCACCTGGAATAATCCTGTGTTCAGTTCTGGACAAAGCAATTCAAGAAGGAGATGGATGAGATGGAAAGAGTTCAGAAAGGGATGCTTGCTTACTTACTTTTACTCAGGCGATCCCTTGTTGGCCGAATAGGATAGTCTTCCAGGATCAGTGTTCTTGTGGGTCCGTAGGTGACCGTGGAGCCCGATTCGTGATCTGCATCTTCTCCCGCAGTGAGGGCATTGGTTTCCAGGTGGAAGGCGGTCTCAGTCGAGGTTGGCTTGATGCACCTTTCTCTTGGCACGTTTCTCTTTTTCGCCCTCCATTCGTGCCTCTTCAAGTTCTGCAGCACTGCTGGTCACAGCTGACCTCCAGCTGGAGCGCTCAAGGGCCAGGGCTTCCCAGTTCTCAGTGTCTATGCCAGAGTTTTTAAGGTTGGCTTTGAGCCCTTCTTTAAATTTCTTTTCCCATCCTTCAACATTCCATTTTCTGTTCTTGAGTTCGGAGTAGAGCAACTGCTTTGGGAGACGGTGGTCAGGCATCCAGACAATGTGGCCGGTCCAGCGGAGTTTATGACGGAGGACCATCACTTCAATGCTGGTGGTCTTTGCTTCTTCCAGCACGCTGATATTTGTCCGCCTGTCTTCCCAAGAGATTTGCAGGTTTTTCTGGAGGCAGCGCTGATGGAATCGTTCCAGGAGTTGCATGTGACGTCTGTAGACAGTCCATGTTTTGCAGGCATATAACAGGGTTGGGAGGACAATAGCTTTATAAACAACAACCTTGGTATCCCTCCGGATGTCCCGGTCCTCAAACACTCTCTGCTTCATTCGGAAAAATGCTGCATTCGCAGAGCTCAGGCGGTGTTGTATTTCGGTGTCGATGTTGACATTGGTGTAGAGGTGGCTGCCAAGGTAACGGAAATGGTCAACATTTTCTAATGTTACACCATTAAGCTGTATCGCTGGCATTGGAGAAGGGTTGACTGGTGATTGCTGAAAGAGGACTTTGGTTTTCTCGATGTTCAATGACAGGCCAAGCTTCTCGTATGCTTCTGCGAAGGTGTTTAGAGTGGCTTGTAGATCTTCTTTTGAATTCGCACAGATGATGTTGTCATCAGCACATTGGAGTTCTATAACAGATGTTGTTGTAACCTTACTTTTCGCTTTCAGTCTGTTGAGGTTAAACAGCTTGCCATTTGTCCAATAGATGATTTCCACTCCGGTGGGAAGCTTCCCATCAACAAGATGAAGGGATGACCCAAATGATCAAGGCTTTGGAAACCATGAATCCCTCTAAATAATGGCTTAAGGAGCTGGGTATGTTTAACTTGGAGAAAGGAAGGTTGAAAGAGGATATGATAGTCATGGTTAAGTATTTGAAAAGATGTCGCACTGAGGATGAGGCAAGCGTACAACCATTAAAAACACACGTATATAAATAGATATATGAAAACACAATAAGGAAGCCACAGCTGTCCTGAGTTTGCAAGTTGGGGTGTTGAGGTTAGCCTGACTTGGAGGGCACTTATTCATTGAGTCATCGTAATCAAGCAGACAATGAATGCATTCATCGCAGAAGTATGAAAAGGGATATTTATTTATTGTGTCAAAAGAAATCCGAGAGTACAGTTGTAATGTTGTAAACAAAGTTTAAAAACTTGGCATGATACTAAATGTCCTTTGAGCAGAAGCTGGCCACTTGGGAGTGCCTGTGGTGTGGCTGTGAGAAGGTCCTCCATTGTGCATGTGGCAGGGCTCAGGCTGCATTGAAATAGATGGTCTGTGGTTTGCTCTTCTCCACACTCACATGTCATGGACTCCACTTTGTGGTCCCATTTCTTAAGGTTGTCTCGGCATCTCTTTGTGCCAGAGCGCAGTCTGCTCAGTGTCTTCCAAGTCTCCCAGTCTTCTGTGCGCCCAGGAGGGAGTCTCTCATCCAGGATCAGCTATGGATTGAGGTTCCAGGTTTTAGCCTGCCACTTTTGGACTCTTGTTTGCTGAGGTGTCTCTGCAAGTATTTCTGTCCATGTTAGGAAGCTATTTCTTGATTTAAGGTGTTGGCATGCTGGCTGATATCCAGATGATGGCCCGGAGATGTCACTGCTTGGTCCTTCATAATCTATATAAATAAAAATGTAATGTTCGTTTGTGGGATTAACATAACTCAAAAACCACTGGACGAATTGACATGAAATTAGGACACAACACACCTATCAGGCCAACAAGTGACCATCACTCATAAAAACACTGGAAAACACAGCAGAAGGGACTTGAAAGGTCAAAAAATCAAAAAGACGCTACAGCGCATGCACAGAAATGACTCCCCCTGGCAAACAAAAAACACAAGAAGCATATCCACACTCTCTTTAGGACTACGGTTCCCAGCATCCCTTAGACCAGGCCCTTTAGGAGAGGAGGAGGATCCATATGCAGCTCCTCCAAGCTGCAAGCTTGCTTCTCCTTGGATTTCTTTGAGAGCATCTCAATCTCTGCATATTTCCAATTTCCTATTCCTGGACTGCAACTTCCAACAATCCTCCAGATAGATAAGATAGATAGATTAGGTGGAGATAGATAGATAGATAGATAGATAGATAGATAGATAGATAGATAGATAGATAGATCAGGACTGCTGGGAGTTGCAGTCCTAGAATAGGTAGAGTAGGAAGAAAGGGGAGAAAAGGGAAAGGAAAGAAAAGGGGGGCGAAGGAAGGGAAGAGGAAGAGAAGGAAGGAAGGAGAGAAAGAAAGAAAGAAAGAAAGAAAGAAAAGAAAGAAAGAAAGAGAAAGAAAGAAAGAAAGAGAGAAGGAGGGAGGGAAGGTTGGCCACAGCAACGCGTGGCGGGTACAGCTAATAATAATAATAATAATAATAATAATAATAATAATAATAATAATAATAAGCTGTTGCAAGAAAATCATACAGACGGACTACAAACAGAGGCACAGCTCTGTGGCCCAAAAGATTAACTGGAACTTATGTCACAAGTAACATCTACCAGCAGTAAAGAATTGGTGGGATCATAGACCTGCAAAGGTAGTAGAAAATGAACATGCAAAAATCCTGTGGGACTTTCGAATCTAGACTGACAAAGTTTTGGAACACAATACACCAAACATCACAATTGTGGAAAAGAAAAAACTCTGGATTATTGATGTCGCCATACCAGGTGACAGCCGCATTGAGGAAAAACAACAGGAAAAACTCAGCCGTTATCAGGACCTCAAAATTGAACTGCAAAGGCTCTGGCATAAACCAGTCCAGGTGGTCCCAGTGGTCATTGGCACACTGGGTGCCATGCCAAATGATCTCAGACAGCATTTGGAAACAACAAACATCGACAAAATCACGATCTGTCAACTGCAAAAGGCCACCTTACTTGGATCTGCCTGCAATCATTCGAAAATACATCACACAGTCCTAGATGCTTGGGAAGTGTTCGACTTGTGATTTTGTGATACGAAATCCAGCATATAGATCTCGTTCGCTGTGACATACTGTGCTTTTGTGTCAATAGTAGTAGTAGTAGTAATAATAATAATAATAATCTATATAAATAAAAATATAATGTTCATTTGTGGGATTAACAGAACTCAAAAACCACTGGACGAATTGACACCAAATTTGGACACAAGACACCTAACAACCTAATGTATGTCCTTCACTCAAAAAATTGATTTTGTCATTTGGGAGTTGTAGTTGCTGGGATTTATAGTTCACCTACAACCACAGATCATTCTGAATCTCAACAACAATAGAATTGGGCCAAACCTCCCACACTGAACCCCCATGACCACCAGAGTGGGCCACAGCAACGTGTTGCAGGGGATGGCTAATAATAATAATAAAACTTTATTTATAACCCGCCTCCATCTCCCCAAGAGGACTCGGGGTGGCTAACATAAGGCCAAGCCCAACAGTTACAACAAAGCAAAATGAATACAAAATACAATCATAAAATAATACATAAAATAAAATACAATAAAATATATGAAAAGAAAATAATGCAAAATAAAGCAGGAAAATTGCATTCAAAGCACCCCTGACAGATGGCCACCCAGCCTCTGTTTAAAAGCTTCCAAAGAAGGAGCCTCCACCACACTCCGGGGCAGAGAGTTCCACTGCTGAACGGCTCTCACAGTCAGGAAGTTCTTCCTCATGTTCAGGTGGAATCTCCTCTCTTGTAGATAATGCAGCATGTCTCATTAAGACCCACATCCACTGTTTTAACATGGTGGGATGTCTTCACACTGGGCATGCATACTCAGCAGATTAGAGGAGCTGTCAGCAGTTAATGACACTGTAAA